CCCCAGGCTGTGGGGGGAGATAATGCAGGCCATATATGGGTCGAATTCCGAACGAAATTTCATACGTTTTGTAATCCGATGGTGCCAGCATAAATTTTGAAATTCAACCAACCAAGCTTTCAATTTCGTGACCAAGAATTTTCTTTTCTTTCCAGGTCACAGCTTTATATTTCTTGCACAATTCTCCCATCATTGATTTGAAATTTGTTCGCTTTTCAAAAACATTTCCAACATGCCCGATCACTCAAATTTGATGGTCACAAGAAAATAGTCCGTTTCTGTGACCCACTAATGGTGTAAAATTCAAACAAAAATTCTTAGAAAAGATTTTCGAAAGAAAGTTCTTTCGGAATTCGACCCGTGTATGGCCGGCTTAAAAAGTTATGACAGCAGGCAGCCCAGCCAAAACACACAGAGAACACCTGAACTGAGTGATCCCACTCAGTGACAGATCCGATACAACACAGCACCACTGACACAGATCAGCAGGCACTAGAAGAGCAGGCTGTGGGATCTTGATGGTGTCATCACTCATTGACCCATTGCACATGTGATGGATGGCCAACCGGCTGGGTCACACTAACACAAACAGCAGACATCAGTCAGACATTACCTTCTTCCACAGGCGCAGCTCCACCTCCACTGATGAATGGGAAGAGAAGGGCTGGAACTCCACAGTGATCATCAGCCGCCAGTCAGCTTGCAGTAAGGGACTAAGTCTGAGAGGAATACTGGAAGGAGCTGCAGCTCAGCTGCTAAACTGGTCCCAGACTCTGGACATCTTTCTCTATACTTCTCTGTACTCTGCTCCTCTCTGCCGCCCCTCCCCTCAGCTAGAGGATCTTTCATGATGTGTCGGCGTCTCACACAGAGAAAGTGCCAGACCCTAGGTGGCAGTGCGCCCTAGGTGGCCGTCTAGTGGAAGCACCAACCCTGCATGGATGTATAAGGCCTAGGGTTGCCATCTCATCTCTTTAAAACCAAACACATTAACCTCTTTGTGCATGCTGCACGCAAATGTGCAGCCTCCCGGCGTTTGGGCCTTGATGCCGAGCGGCCGCACATTTGCGTGCAATTAAGAAAAACATATGTGCTGAGAGCGTTCGCCCTGCGCGCTCCCAGCACACATGTCCAGTACTCACAGAAAGGTCTCGATCTCCTCTTTCGATCGGGACCTTTCCCGATCATGTGACTACTGTGACTGCGAATCATGGCGGTCACATGACCTTAAAACCCCGCCCCGCCTCCCAGCTTCTGAAACCCTTAAAGGGCCAGGAGCCACCGGCGCCAAGGGGTTTATTACACAGGTCCTGTGGCTTATTAAGGTGGTAAATAAACTCATTTTAATGCCTTATCTGCATTAAATTAGCCTCAGGACCTGTGTAATTAATTCACATAGAGGCGCATCAATGTGTAAATCATGTATACCTGCATGGGAATGCACAGGTGTTCCATTCATCCCTTTGCAGATAGAACCATTGATGTCAGTTGGGACATGGCAGCTGAACAGACACAGCCGCTGCTCCCAATTTGACATCTATGTGGGTGCGTGTCCCATACTCACACTGTCTGAGTTTTGGGCCATGCACCCCACTTGCTTCTGTGCAGCTGCTGCATTTCAATTGATATCAATGGGTCTGCCTGCATGGAGATGAATGGAACACCTGTGCATCCCCATGTGGGTAAACATGGCTCCATATGGGTGTATACTCTACCTCATGTGAATGAGGCCTAAGGCTGCATTCTCACAAGCATTGAGCCCAATACAGTCTGATGAGCCACACAGCTAGGACACTTTCCGCATTTGGAGCCATGCACCCATCCTTGCTTACCTGTCAAACTCAGCTGTGCAAGGGAGTCCATACAGTCCCCCCAACTTATATGGGCCAAACACAGCTCAAGATTACTCCAGAAAGAGAAAGATATGGCTCTTTATATTGTACAGTTCTTGTGAATGAAACCTAAGGCTTTATTCACCTGGGTGCATCTTCATATAGAGGATCATGTCTATGTGCTCATGGAATAGGCAAAGAAATAGGGGCCCCCCCCCCCTTTTCTTATGGGACTGTGGCAGGGGCAATAAAGTTTCAAGTCCCCCCACTGTATTTATACAGTGGGGGAACATTCTAGAAGGTCAGTAGGGTTTTTAGTTCCCCCCATTGGTGTGAGGAAGAGAAAAAAAACGTTAAGTTGCAAGCCCCCCCCCCCCCCCCATGGTATATTAATATAATGGGGAAGAATCTAGAAATGGGAGTTTTTAGCCCCCCACTACACCTGGACATTCCTGGAAGAAAAAGTGACCAATTGGGAGAAGAATTGGAGAGAGGAGAGGGCTATAAAAAGGAGGTCCATTAACGGAAAAAACAGAAACCTGGGAGCTCTGTGGTGCTCCCCTCACACCCGCCCCTTTTTGTCGCAGCCAGTTATTATTGGTAAATCTCATCTTCATTGATGGCAGATTAAGTAAAAATATTAACAGTAAGATTATAAAATACTTGTGAGCCACAAAATAAATACTAGTTGTATATGATGTAGTTCACTGGCACTTGATCACATCCTCATATTTGTGTGCAATGTAGTAACCAAGATAAGAATTTTTAGAAGTGCCGCGCCCTTAGAATAAATTAATAATTAATTAATATAAATTATATATATATATATATATATATATATATACATATAACTCATGGTTTTAAAATATAATAATTGGAATGTGCAATAAATCCTCTCAAAGTAAACAACTGTAAATGTGCTGAATGATAAAAAAAAAAGGTACAAATGTGACTAGTATAACGTGGAATGTGAAATCAAATAATATGAAATAATAAATCCATAATGCTGAATGAATAAAAAAATAAATAAATAAAGAATAAAGTGTCCAAATAAATATAAACGTCCAAAAAATAGTGCAGATCCTTCCTTGGGTAGTGACACTTTTATATGCTCACCTTCCTGTAAGCCTAAATCTAGGCTAAACACATGGTTGGATTCTATTAGGTGATAATGTGCTGGAATCCTTCAAAAGGTGAGATGCGCTGTGGAAATGTGCTTGGTTCTCCTGGATAGCCACTATCATGCCTAGTGTAGACAAACAGATGTTTTCCTCTTTACACTGCTGTGCGTGGCTTCTGCAGAGCCGCGCAGCGGCGCGATCTGTCTCCGGCCGTGTACCTCGGACACGGCCGATGACAGATCTGAGTATCGGCCCCCGTTGCCGGTACCATGTGACCTGCTGTGACCAATCACAGCAGGTCACATGACAGTTGTATACAATGGATGGCTTCATTCATGCCATCCATTGTATACTAGTGTCTAGCTGTGAATGGTCACAGCTAATCACATGCACATGTCATGTGATTAGCTGTGGCCAAATCACAGCTAAGCACAAAAAAAAAAAACCCTGAATGAATCAATGTCATTCAGGTAAATGCTTGCTTATAGCAAAGTAATTATTTGCTATAAGCAAATTGTGTAAAAAAAAAAAAAAAATCACTTCCCCAAAGTAGTACAATGTTACTATGGTAACATTGTACTACTTTGATCATAGTGAAATATGAAAACAAATCTTAAAAAAAATAAAAAAAATGTAATAAAAAATAATTAAAAGAAAAAAAAATATATATATATATATTTTTTTTTTCATACTGTCACCAGTCAGTGTCCCTGATCACCGCCATGCCAGTTATATGATGACGCTGTACTGCACTGGTGACAATATGTAAAAAAAAATAGTGAAACTAATTTTTTTTAATTTTTTCATTTTCCGAAAAATTATGACAAAAAAAATACAACTTCAAAAAACTCCCCATGCCTCTTATGAAGTACGTCGGACTGTTTACTTTGCAAAAAGGGGTCATTTGGGGGATATCTGTACTATTGTGACATTCTTGGACCTCAAGAAATTAGATTGGCCGTCAGTACTTCAGGACTGATCAATATTCAGATCTATACCATAGTTTGTGAACTCTATAACTTTCCTACAAACTAAAAAATACATCCTAATATGGGTTATTTTCACCAAAGACATGTAGCAGAATACATCTTGGCCTAAATTTATGAAGGACAATTATTTATTTGCAAACTTTTATAACAGAAACAAAGAAAAACGTGTGTTTTTTTCCAAATTTTTGGTCTTTTTTTGTTAATTTAGCAAAAAATAAAAACCCCAGTGGTGATTAAATACCACCAAAAGAAATCTCTAGTTGTGTGAAGAAAATGATAACATTTTAGTTTGGGTACAGTGTTGTATGACCGCGCAATTGTCATTCAAAGTGTGAGAGCACTGAAACCTGAAAACTGGCCTGGGTAGGAAGGTGTAAAAGTGCCCGGTATTGAATTGGTGAAACACAGGACAGCAAGCGACATGGGTTGGATAGATATATATATGACTATTTCCAATCCTCCCAGCTTTCATAACTGAAACACTGGTTCATTTCGTCCTCAGAAGTACTCTGGAAAGAAATTGAGTTAGCATCTTGCCCTACTTCTGATCCTTGCTCCCTCCTACTGATTGATAATTGGTGTCCATATTCACTACCAACTTTTCTTCTAACAGTACAGGCTTCCATTCTAGCTAGGAGAGACCTATGTAAGAATCGTTGCATTCGCTCCACATCAGTAACCATTCCTATACCCATCTATTATAACAAATCTGATAGCAAATATCTCTCTTACAGACTGGCAAGACAGAGGCATCCAAATAATTGCTGATGTATATGCCAACAAAAAGATCAAAACATTTGATATACTGGTTAACTAGTTGCCGTCCGCAGATAGCCGAATGACGGCTGCACTGCGGCCGGCCAGTTCTGAGTGGACGTCAAATGACGTCCTCCCAGAACGAGCTCTCCTGCGCGCCCCAGGGGGCTCGCACCCGGCGATCTCCATGATCGCTGTGTCCTACGGACACAGCTGATCACGTGATGTGGTAAAAGGCCAATCACAGCGGCCTTTTACCACGTGATCAGCGGTGTCCAATGACACGCTGATCAGAGGGAAATGCAAGTGCCGGTTCTCGGCTGCACTTTCCTCACGCTGTCAGATCGTGAGGAAAGTACTGCCGAGAACCGGCAGTTGTCAGAGCGGGGATCGGCACCGATCATCAGGGCACTGATGCTCAGTGCCCTGATGATCGGTGCCCAGCAGTGCCACCCGCAATTTCCGCCCACCTGTGCCCAGCAGTGCGCCCACTAGCTCCGCCCACCTGTGCCCAGCAGATCACCCACCTGTGCCCAGCAGTGCACCCACCCGTGCCCAGCAATGCACCCACCTGTGCCACTCTGCAGTGTCACACACCTGTGCCCAGAAGTGCCACCTACCTGTGCCCAGCAGTGCCACCCACCTGTGCCCACCCACCAGTGCTGCCCACCAGTGCCACCCACCAGTGCAGCCCAGCAGTGCTGCCAGTCAGCGCCACCAGTCAGTGACCAGGGGTTGTGCCGGTCAGTGCTGCCAGTCAGTGCCCAGCAGTGATGCCAGTCAGTGCCGTCTATTAGTACCCATCATCAGTGTCACCTATCAGTGCCACCTATCAGTGCTGCATATTAGTGCCGCCTATCCGTGACACCTCATTAGTGCTGTCTATCAGTGCCGCCTATCCGTGCCACCTCATTAGTACTGCCTATCAGTGCCCTTTAGTGCTGCCTATCAGTGCCCATCAGTGCCGCCTATCAGTGCCCATCAGTGCTGCCTCATCAACGCACATCAGTGAAGGAGAAAAAATACCTGTTTGAAAAATTTTATAATAGAAACAAAGAAACTTTTTTTTTTTTTTAATTTTTTGCACTTTTTTTATTTATAGCGCAAAAAGTAAAGCGCCCAGTGGCGATTAATTACCACCAAAAGAAAGCTCTATTTGTGAGAAAAAAATGATCAAAATTTCATATGGGTACAATGTTGCATGACCGCGCAATTGTCAATCAAAAAGTGCGGCAGCGCTGAAAGCTGAAAATTGGCCTGGTAAATAAGGGGGTATAAGTGCCTGGTAGGCAAGTGGTTAAAGAATTCAACCTTCCTCCTATGGATCAGTATAAATACCTCCATATAAGTCATTTTCTGAAAACTCTCCTCAGACAAGAGATATTTCTCCTTTCTACAGCTTGGAAATATCTTCACTTACACACACACCTCACTCCAAAGGAATATCCATTTTCTCTTATCTTTTACAAGACAAATCTAATTTTTCTAAAACTACTTCTTACTTAAAATGGGAGACAGATTTAGGCAATCTGTTCCTCTGAACAATGGTGTTCTGCTTTCAGATCACTCTATAAAGCTTCCAACTGCATGAACTACTGGGAAATATCCCAGAAATTGGCTTTATGCCTTACGCATTCAGAATATATAAATTCATTAAATGTGCTTCCCCTCTGTGTTGGAGAGGTCTTGGTTGTGTGGGTCACCTTATGCACATTTTCTGGACTTGTAAACATTTGATTAGTTTCTGGCGTTCTGTCTTTCTCTTTACCTCTAACACAACTTGTATTATCACACCACCTGAACCTGGTCTTTTTTTTTTTTTCTTTTCTTTTTTTTTTAAGTAATACCATACGCCTGATTCTTTATATTTATTTACTGTTGTCTCAACATTATGTAGGAGACACATGGTTGGGTCTAACCCTATGTCATTTCCAGTTATTATTTCTATTAACTTAACTATTGTCTTCCAGAAAACCTGAATTTTTGGACATTGCCACCATATGTGGAACACCGTGCCCTCCTCCCCACATCCTCTCCAACACATTTTTTAATTCTCCCCACTCATCTTGTGCTCAGTGCTCGGTGTAATATGCCATCGTGTCAGACATTTATAGTTAATCTCAACGTCTCTCATACTAACACTCTCGTGTACCAATCTAAATATCTTATTCTGTTGATCCTCATCTATCACCACCTCCATATCTCTTTCCCAATTTGTTATAAAAATTAACTTTGTGTCCGTGTCTAATTCTGTGAGGATCCTATAAATTTTTGTAACACCGTGTTTCCCGTCCCTACGTGTTTCTAATAGCCTTTCAAACAAATTCCACTCCTTTTTTAATCTCAAGGGTTTTGGGAGATTTCCAATGAAACATTTTAATTGGTGATATTTCCACTCATCTATTCTATTAAACATATCCCCCCCCCCTCTCTTTTAATTCTTTAAATGTTCTCAATTCCCCCTCTACCAATACATCTCTCAATTGGATATCTTCTTTTTTAAACCATCTCCCTGATATCTCATCCTTTCCTGGAGGAAAAAACTCCGTGTTTGCAAGTGGCATTAATATAGAGTTGAATTCCCATTTCATGTGTTTATGTAAATTATCCCATGTCCTTAAAACATTTAAAGTGAAAGTGCTTGTGCCCTCTTTAATTCTTCTATATTGTGCTGGGACCCATATCATCTTACTCAAACTAATTCCACTCAGTTCGTTTTCTATTTTTACCCAACTTTTTCCCTTATGGTTAAATGTCCAGTCATATATTCTCGCTAAAATTACTGCTTTATAATATCTCTTGACATCCGGTAGTCCCATTCCCCCTTTCTCTTTAGTCCTACTTAATGTTTCGTATGATATTCTTGGTTTTTTATTCCTCCATATATATCTTGTTAACATTCTTCTCATTATCTTAAAAAACGCCTCTGGGAGTTTAATTGGGACCATTTGAAATCTATAGAGTATTTTAGGTATAATTACCATTTTAACTAGGTTTATACGTCCTAACCATGATGGATTTCCTCCTTCTAATCTTTTTAATTCATCCTTAGTCTCGTTTATCAGAGAAATATAGTTTAATCTATACAGTTGTTTATATGAAGTAGCCAGTTTTATTCCTAGGTATTTTATATCTTTTTCTCTCCATATAAAGGGGAATTCTTTTTGTAACTTTTCTTTTTCGCTCTTTGGTATATTGATGTTCAGAATCTCTGTTTTTGTTGGGTTAATTTTTAGATTTGATAGTTCACCATACTCCTTCAGGGTCTTCATTATACTTGGTAATGTTATTCGGGGGTTGCCTACATAAAACAATAGGTCGTCCGCAAAGGCCGCTACCTTATGTTCTATATTTTCTATCTGGATTCCCTTTACCGCTCCACTATTCCTTATTATTGACAACAAGGGTTCCAGTGTCAAAACGTACAACAGGGGGGACAATGGGCAGCCCTGTCTTGTTCCATTGGACATCCCAATGGATTCCGACCTCTCCCCATTTACCGTAATGATTGCGGTGGGCTCCCTATATAATTTACCTATCCACTCCCGCATTCTCTCTCCGATCCCCAGAACTTCCAAGTTGTCCATCATAAAGCCCCAGTCCACTCTATCAAACGCCTTTTCGGCATCAATTGACAAGAGCACCACCGGGGCTTTTCCTTTTCTACTTTTCTTTTCTGAATAAGCATTAAAGTTCTCAACCCGTTGTCTCTACCCCCTCTCCCTGGGACAAAGCCCACCTGATCTCCATGGATCCATTCAGGCATTAGTTCTTTCAGCCTATTTGCTAGAACCTTTGCGTACAACTTGGTATCAGTGTTCAATAATGAAATTGGTCTATAGCTAGAGCACTGAGAAGGATCTTTTCCCTCCTTATGAATGAGAACTACATGGGCCTGAAGGGATTCCCTCCTCCCCTCCATCCCACCTCCCAAGTCATTCATATACTTCTTCAGCTTCGGTAACAGTAATTCACTAAATTTTTTATAGTACTTAACTGTATAACCATCCGGGCCAGGGCTTTTCCCACCCCCTGTACTTCTTAATGCTGCTTCTATTTCTTCCTGGGAAATTTCCGCGTCCAAGGAATTCAATTGTGTTTCACTGAGCTTAGGTGATCCCGCATTTTTTAAATATATCATCCTTTTTTCGTTAATACCTTCTCTAATTTCTTTTGGTGCACCTTGATGACTAATGTTATATAACTTTCTATAATACTCCGTGAATACTTTAATAATTTCTTTAGTTGAGTGGACCAACTCCCCCTTAGGACTTTTTATCTTTTCTATATAATTCCTGTTTTTCTTTTTATTCAGGGCTCTCATTAAGTATTTTCCTGGTCTATCTCCCCATCTATATCTTTCACTTAATACTTTGTATATATACTCTTCTCCTCTCCTCTTCCATCAGTCTCTCTAGCTCGTCTTTTTTATCCTTTAACTTCTGTCTTGTTTCTATTGTTATTTTCTTCTTATGTATCTGCTCCAAGTCCAGGGTTTCCTTTAGGAGTCCACTAACCCTCTCTCTTCTTTCTTTTTTCTTCCTTGCTCCCATCGTAATCAAGATTCCTCTTATATATACCTTATGGCTTTCCCATACTGTAGCTGTCGATACTTCCTCTGTCTCATTCTCCTTGAAATATACTTTAATCTCTTCCCTGATCTTCTGCGTAATATCCTCATCCAAGAGAAGAGCCTCATTTAAACCTCCATCCTAAGCCTCCCGTCCACCTTCTTCCCCATCCTATTTTCATTATGACAGGGGCATGATCCGAGAAAGTTCTTGTCTCTATTTCTATTTTAACCAACAGTTCAATGAGTTGATGATCTATCAAAAAAGTAATCCAGTCTCGAGTATATCTCATGTGCATTAGAGAAGAAGGTATAGTCTCTGTCTTTCATATGCATTATTCTCCAGGAGTCCACCAGTTGGTACTCGTGGATCACCTTCTTCAAAGCTCTCAGAGACCTACCCCCCTCTCTCTGCACAAGGGTGGTTGCATCCTTTTGTGGGTCCATACAAAGATTTAAATCTCCTGCTATTATTAAACGCCCTTTTTTTAAAATCAATCAATTTTTTCAGCAGACCCTTCAAAAAGATCTCCGTTTTTTTTGTTGGGGCAATATATATTGGCTAGTGTACACTCAATTCCTTGTAGTTTACCTTTCAAAAATAGGAATCTCCCCTCCGAATCAGTCTTTCTCTCTTCCAGCTCAAATCTCATATTCTTTGCCAAGCCTATTGCCACCCCCTTTGCTCTTTTAATTGGAGAGTCAGCGTAATACCATGTTGGGTAATATTTAGATTTTAGTTTCACGTTTGACTCTATCTCAAAGTGTGTCTCCTGTAAAAATACCACTGACGTTGCCCTGTGATGTAACTCTTTAAACAACTTAAATCTTTTCCCAGGACAATTCAACCCATTCACATTATATGTTATAAACTGTATTTCTTCCATCCTTCATAAGTCTGTCTATCTTCCTTCTAAATCGTCTCTTCCTATTAGGCCCAGCTGTCTTGCAGAGTATTAGCCCCGTAACCCCTCCCCCCCCCTCCCTCCCACCCAACCCCTATCCCCCATCCCCTCCCCCACCCCCCCTCTCTTATTTTCCCCCTACCCATTTTTAGGCTTATAAACTGCCTACAAATCATTTGTGGAACTGTTTCCACGGTTGATTTCAAATATTGGGCGTAAGCTCCGCCCATGGACGGCTCACCTCTCCTCCGACCTCCCCAGCTCCCCTTTCTCTATCAACTGGGCTCTGCAATACCTTTACTTCCCCCCCTTA